TGTGTTCAGAAACCTCAATCCAGGAATTGATACATCTGTCTACAAAACACTCTGCATCAATCCAGGAATCACTGTAATGATGAGAAAAGCTACTCTGGATCGATCAAGGAATTGCTGTATTGATAAACAAAATAGCTACTCTAGTAACCTGTCATTTAGACAGACACTGCACATTTTAGTCAGGGTACAACTGTTCATTAGAAAGGCTAAAATTCAACAAACTTATCTTTTCGATGTGCCTATATATACATTTGTAATTCTGTGTCTACAGACTGGCGACTGTTATCTTTCATTTTCGTATTTTCAGACATGAATTTGTTAACCTCTGGTTAAAATCCTGTTTATTGCTACAAGGTGATTCACATGTATAATACTGACATTTGATATAGTAATACAATATACCAGTAGTACACTAAGATAACTGTGTGTTAATCTACACTGATCTTTGGCTATTACCATGGCAACCTGGCATCATGACAATACGCAAGAGTTATGATAACGGCATAACTGTAGATATATAACAATAATAAAGTCTGATATAAAAATATATTTTCACGTCAATTTTTTTTATTCTCTAGAAATGTTGTGTTGGATGTTTGTTTTTTTAATACCCGTAATAATAGTGTTATAATTGCAAGATATACAGCAAACCAATATCCCGTTCATCAACTTTCACTGAAAAGACAATCATGTTCAAAATTCTGCTTGTCCATAATGGATACTGTAAAATACTTTACTTTCGCTTGTAATAAATTTTCACTGAAGGAATGATTCAGTGAAAATAAAATCCAGCAAACATACCATTTTTCCTATACTTTACGTTCAACTCATCAAAAATCAGTGAACATAAATTCCATACAAAACACCTAAAAAGTCTTTTCAGCAAAAATTAATTCCAGCTAAAATAAAGTATTTTACAGTAAGTTGATTAAAGGCAGTTCAAACCTAATCTAATTAATGCACTACTTAGGCATGTTACTCAACCGCCTTCAGAAATACATTTCTAGTGCAAGAACACATGAATCAAAAATTGCATTCATTGTATGATGGATCATTTAAAATACTTTGACCACAGACTCATCTATCATTTATGCGCATGCAAAACAATTTTTTTCTTATGAGAATAAGAAAAGTAAAAAAAATAAAAAACAAAGTAAGATGAGAGAAGAAGCTCCGGGTAAATTTGTAATACAGTATTATAATATTAGTACGAACTGGTAATATGTTTTTTGGCCCTATGTAATTCAAATGATTAGGAAATTTGATGGACAGTTTTTAAATAACAAATTTTCCCTACTATTCATTCTACATTTCAATGTTGTTGTTTTTTGTCTATATATTAAAGCGGGGAAGTCGTCGCATGTGTCATGTGGCCATAGCATGCCATTGTTTACAAACAAGCATCTACCCATGAGCCTTTGCGTTCTTAGCGCATGTTGTTATCGTCATTTGGGACTCAATTCCAAACGTGCACAGGTGACACCCCTCTCGATTTAACATCAATTCATACTCTATTGAAATATTGACATTATTTCTGTGCATAAATATGTTGGAACTGAGTGAAAAAATTCTGCAGGTATTCAACAATATTTTGAAAAACAAAGTAGGTAATCAGTTCTGATCTTACAACCCACAGTAATCTAAATAACATAATCTCAGTGGATTTCACTGTAAAACAATTTTTACTGTATCTTATCAAAAAGTTACAGTAAAAGGCATGAATCTGTGGTCGTTATTCATGTTTTATAAATATACATTTTTATAAATCAATATAGATGTTAGAATTTAAATTGACGTCTCGAGAAATGGTATTGTGACATCATCATTCTAATTAATATTAATGAGATAATTCAACATTAACCAATCAGAAAGCACCCAATTTTGAATATGAGGGGCTGTCACAGTTGCTATGTCTTGTGAGGGTATGCACACACATTATGGGTATAGACAATGCTGAGGTCTCTAGCCAATCACTATTGAATATAAGTTGATAATCAGCATTTAAAACATTTATGCCTTCCATTTGAAAACATTTGTAAACAGTTATGAGGTTGAAGCAAAGGGACCGGCTTCATTTTTCCCCATCAGCAGATTCATAGTTATACAAAAAATATACCCAACACCTTGATGGAGGCCATTAGCCATTTGACAGCAAATAGACAATCAGTATGAGATCTTGAGGAGCCCAAACCACATAGCCTCAGTTTTGTTAAAATTAACACAAAACTTAGACAAAGAATTCACCCAGAGTGGTGAATGACCTTTCAACAGAGATCAATATTTTGCCACTACTATGACTTTCCTTTAAACTTTATTACAGGAAAGTCAATAAAATATGAAGAATATTATGCAAATGTAAAATCTTTTATTTGGCCAAAACCTCATTAAAACACCTTACCTTGCCATAACCACCTTTTCCTAATACTCTTAAAAGCTCAAAATCAGCAGGACCAACTTTCTCTCTGCCCGGGTTGACAGTAGCATCTGAAAGGGCTAATTCTTCTATGTCGTAGGAACTAAAGTAAAACACAATAAAAATAGCATTATAATCTACAATTACAATTTGAACTATTCTCGGGAGCATCTGGGCATTTTGGCTGCCAGGCAACCACAACCGATGAAAAAAATGGTCGAAAACACTCAAAAACATGTACTTTGGTCAAGTCGTTAAGAGTATCCTGAAAAGTGTTACAAGATTACCCATATAAAAACTGGATTATATAAGAAAATTTTGTTTTCTCAACATAGCTACTGGCTCTTCGATTGGCATTTCACAGCATCTCGTGCAGAGTCCATAGAAGTAAATGCTACAGTGGTGTGCATCTTAGCAACATAAAACATTCTGTGACATAGCTCCGTCCCCGAGAACACAACTATTTTAGGAAATCCAATGGTGTTCTTTTACCTGTTACACTTGGAAAACCCCTAGTACAATCTAAGCTTAAAGTTCTCATTCTCTTTTTACAAATATGTGAGGTAACATGAGGTACAATGTCAAGATTGTAAGTGGGTAAGAAAAAATTAACTGTAATATATTAAAGACAATGTCCCACATTATAATACCATGAACGAACAAACAAACAAGTAATTCACTTGCTGCAAAGCCAGCCGAGTTGATCCTGCACACAAGCACCCCGAAATAACGTACTGAAGCAACCAACTAACACTGTTTTGTACACATGCAGTTGTGGGGGAATATGTTCACAAATATTTTCATTATAGCGTTCATAATAGAGAAAATAGCAAAATATAAAACTAAGCAGAGCATTGTGGGTATTTTCTAGTAAACTGTACAGAAACTCAAAAATGACGAGTGGCTCAGGCACTATAAAATTGCCTTCCATCAATCATTTAAGTATTTCAAAGCAAAATGTTATA